TCTTTTCTTTCTTTCTTTCTTTCTTTCTTTCTTTCTTTCTTTCTTTCTCTTCTGTTTTTTTTTTAATGTTTATTTGTTTTTGAGAGACAGAGCATGAGTTGGGGAGGGGCAGAGAGAGAGAGAATCTGAAGTAGGCTCCAGGCTCTGAGCTGTCAGCACAGAGCCTGACACAGGGCTCGAACCCACAAACCATGATTTAAAGACCTGAGCCAAAGTCAGATGCTTAACCAGCTGAGCCACCCAGGCACCTCTGGTCCTCCTTTTCTCCATCTGGACAAAGAAGCCTGGATTGGACCTTCTCTACAGGCTGAGGTGGACATTTGTGTATCTGCCTGCACGGTCTGCATTCTGTCTTGAGCAGAAATGCCCACCCCAGGCTCAGGCCATATGGAAAAGCCTGGAATGGGAGTGTCCCATTCCAGGTGTGGATGTGGGACACTGGCCTGGCCAATCAGAGCCACCACCTCCCAAGTCACAGTGATTGGGTAGAAATGAGCATGTGACCTTGTGAGAGGTCTCACTCGAGAATTTTGCCGGGGGAAAAAAAAATTTTTGCTGGGAAGCCTGGGAAAGTCACTGTCTTCCCACTAGGGTTGTTGAACTAGGCAGTTGGAAGGGGAGACCCAAGAACACTGCATGGAGTCCTGGATCCAACTGTACCTGACACCAGTAAATCTTGATTATTCAGTTTCATTGGTCTCTAACGTAACTGTATTTGCCAAAATTGCCTTGAGTCCATTTCTGCTGACTGCAGAAAAGCCCACACTGACCACTGTGAATTTCAAGCCTGGAAGATCATGGTCTGCAGTTTGTACACCTCCAAGGCCCGCTGGCTGCCAGTGCAGTATCCAGCACCAGGTATCAGAAAGATCAGAATGGAGTTGTTTGAAGTATAGTCCAGGTGAGTCCCAGGCCGACTGCTCTGAGAGGATCTCCCCACACTTCCCTAGGTGTTGTGAGTGGTTGGAAGAGAGAGGCGGCAAGGGTCAGGGGTACCCTACGGGAGAGAGAGAGGGTCCTGGTGGGGTGTCAGTGTTGTGGAGGGGCCTGAGGGCCTAGGAAGGGGTTCATGGACACAGGAGATATGGAAGAAGGACCACCTCCCACTGCCAGGAAATAGGAGTCCATTCTCTCTCCCCTTTCTAGGGTGTATTAGGGGCCTCTGTGCCGCCATCCTGCTCCCCACTTGCCCCAGGCCAGGTTGTGGGGAGGGAGAATCCTCTGGTCCACCTGATAAGTGGCCCTGACTGGTGTGTAGCCCCCAACCAAGTCACTGTCACCGTTTGCCCACTCGGAAGGCGCTCGTCCTTCTGTCCTTCTGTCCATCAGTCATTCATCCAGCAGTCATTGACTGCCCTCTGTTGGCCAGGCCCTGCCCAGGGAATGCCCTGGTGAGCAAGACAGGCCAGCCCTGTCAGACCTAGGGGTCAGACCGGCAGGAGAAACAGGCGGCTAAGTGAGGGAACTGCATATTTTCCAGGGGCTGCCTTGGACTGTTCCTGTGCTGTAAGCTAGTAGGGTGCAGTCTTGGGGTGCCCCAGACCCTCCCAGGGCTCCCCATCACCCACCGTCCCTGGGTGCGATCTCAACTAGTGACTAATAGTCTTCTCCATTCAAAGATCAGGTCTTTAGACTGAAGACCCCTCACAACTCCCAAGTCAGAGGGCTCCGAACTTGGCTGGTTTATTTGCATTTCATTTACATGTCCATCCCTGCACTTCCCACCTAGAGAACGCCCACACCCCCTGGGCCACCAGGGGGCGCAAGAGGCAAACCCTTGGTCAGGCCTCGGAAGTGGTCATTGTCCACTTTCCTGGCCGGTCCTGGTAGGTGCATTGTGATCCTCCATCCTTTTTCACCCCATACGCCCTCGCTCCCATTTTTCAGAGAGTGAACTGAGATTCCGTGAGGCAGGATTACCCAGCAGGACCTTGCACCTTCCCCCATGTGCTCCTGGGCTGTTCTGGCAGCCTCCCTTCCTTGCCAGGGTGGAGGTGTGGGCACTCCCAGACCTGACTCAGTAGGATTTGCTCCCAGGAGAGCCCCAGAGACAGGAGGTGGGGGAAGCTTGGAGAGAGGCAATGAGCTCCCTTGTGCCATGGGGCGTTCAAGCTGGAGCCTAGCACCCATGAGGGTGGGGATGACCTGGAAGGGATCTTGTGGACCACCCCAGTCTCTTTCAAATCTGTGGATGGGGTAAAAGGAGGCCCAAGAGGGCAGTGACTTGCCCCCAGTTGGTCCACAGTGGTCAAAATGGGAATCAGACTTCACTTTTGGCTTTTTGTCCTTACCCCAAATCTAAGTTCTGGTTTTTATTTCAGGCCTGCTGTACACTCTCAGAGGGGTACTACCGCTGAGAAACCCCTTCCTAGCCCTGCCATATCCCCCAGAAAGGTCTCTGAATGCCTCCAGCTTGGTCCCCATGCCCCGCCATCACTCAGACCCTCTCCGGGGCTCTCCAGTTCTTCAAGAAACCCTCAGAGATACCCCTTTGGTGCCACTACACATGAGGCAGAGGAGCCTCCAATATGGGGGAGACAGAGTCAGACACAGACATCTCCAACCCCCTGGGTCAGCGCTGGGCTGGAAGGAGGGATGGGGGTAGAGAAGCCCCAGATGGGAGGAGGGGGCATTGAAGGTGGGCCTTGAAATGATTCTAGCCTCCAGGAGGAGGGGCTGCTGTTTCCCCCACTTTCACATGAGCAAACAGGCTCACAGTGGTGCAGTGACCAGCTTGAGGTCATGCAGTGAGTGGGAACCAGAGCTGGGATGGGGACCCAGGCTCTCCAACCCTGAGGCCCTGCCTGCTGGACCACACTGCACTTGCCATGAAGCGTCCGTCAAAGCCTTCCCCTTCTGATACTGTGGGAAAGGATCTGGAGGACGGGGACGTGGGAGAAGCAGCTTTTCCACCTCCTTACCTTCGCACTCCTGCCTCCACCCACCCCCAACTACCCCATCCTCTGGGCCCCCTTCCCAGATCCCCTTCTGTGGCCCTTTCCACTCTCTTCTCCCCTGCCCCCCAACCCTCCCTTCTACTCTCCAGCCTCTTACTCTAGCAACTAAGGGTGTCCCCTCAACTGAAAAGGCCGAGGTGGAGACTTTGACTGCCCTGATGGGGGATGAAGGTTCACATGGGGTGACATAGCCATTGAAGGGGGGAGGGTATAGGACAGGAATTGGGGTAGAGACAAAAAGGAGGGGCTGTTATAGGAAACAGAGTGCAAATGATAGAAGATGGAACTGGCCAGAATGGGAAAGAGCCATAGAGTATGAGTGGGGGCGGGGACGGAGTGGCAGGAACATGGGAGGGAGCCCTAGTGGTGGGAAGGGGCAGGGAGGAGGATGCGTGGGGGGGCAGGCCCAGCCACCTCACATCAGGCAGACCCTTCCCTACACACCCTGGCTGCTCCCAGAGCTGCTCCAGCTGCTGCCCTCACGTAACCAGAGCCTGCCTGTTGCATCAGAGGCGGGCGGGCAGCCACGGGTAAACAGAGCAGCCCTCGGGGGGCCCGGGGCTCCCCAGCCACCTCCACGCTCCCCAAGCCTCATTCTGTGCCTTGGAGCCAAGGCAGACACCCCCATCCTAGTCTGGCTTCTGGTGTGTCCTTGGGACACCAGAGGTTTGGTGTTGGGCACTGAGGGACAGCGCAGTGGGGTCAGAGGCAGGACCCCTGGACCTTCTTATGACAGCGGGAACCCTAGCACATGTCCAAAGATGAAAGCTTTGCCCAGACTAGGGATCCAAACTGCCCATGTCACAGATGGGTAGATTGAGGTTTGAGGAGAGGCCTCCCAGAACCCCAGTTCCCTGCCTCAGTGTCCCCCACACATTGATATCTCTACATGTTCCCCACAGAATCCAAGAGTCTAGCCATCCCCTGTTGTCTTCCAAGAAGGTGGAAAACAGACAGCCATTGCAACCCACTTGATCTCCCATTTTATCTGCCCCAAACTGACCCCCTTCTCTCTTTCTCCGAGCCTCCCTTCAAGTGCCCAGCCCAACCTACTTCTGCCCACTTCTCTGGCTTCATCTGCCTCATCTCCTCCACCAAAAAATGCTCCACACTCTGCCTCCGCACCTTTGCGAGTGCTGTTGCCTCTTGGAAAACGCTTCTCCCAGTGGCAAACTCCTGTTCATGCCTCAAAGCCCAGTAAAATGCCCCCTCTTCTGGGAAGCCCTCCCCAACCCTTCTAGCCCAGTCCTGACTCCCCAGAGCCAGGGCAGTGTGTGGCAGCTCTGCCTTCGCCAGGCTCGGAGTTTCTCCTGGATTACACAATCCAAAAATCATCTTCATTCTGTAATTCTTTTCACATTGATTCACTCACTAATTCTGCTCTGCTTTCCCCTCTGGGCCTAGACGTGTGCTGGGTGGTGCTGGGATCCCATGGAGGGAGCGGATGCAGAGGTCTCGAATGGAGTCTAGTTCTGGAAGCCAGTCCCCCTAACACACAGCTGACCTTTAAACTGGAGGAGGGCGCCTAGAAGCCGAGGGGTCAAGACACGTGAGGCACACATCTAGCTACAGGAGGCACAGATGAGCGAGCCCGCACAGGCGATCCCAGAGCCAGCTTTCTGCAATCCCTCCATTTGGGTGAGAGCAAGGATCAATGTTAGCTTCGAGAAGGGCTCCGTCTCTGGGGCCTTCAGGGTCTTGGGTCAGAGTTGTATTTCACTCAGTTTAGAATAAGTCTAGAGTTGGGGCTAGCCGTGGTCCAAATTAGAGACAAGGTCCGAATTAGCGCCAGGGTCACAGTAGTAAGGTCACAGGCGCCTAGTGAGGGTGGGGGAAGTCTGGTGGGTCTGATCCAGCCCCCTCTCCGGTCTCCTTTCTTCATTACACTCCCTCCCCATTTCCGCGTCTTCCGGGGTCTGAATCCGAGTGCCCAGAACTCCCGGGGCGGGGACGCGCCCAAGTGCCCGCCCATCACGGCTCATGAACGCGCCCTATATACAAATGATCCCCACCCCACCCAATCAGCTCCCGAGGGGGCGGGGCCGCCCGTCCCGTAGGCACCTGTGGCCGCCCTGCGCTCCGAGCTCTGTGCTGCTGCTGCCCAGCTGGTACTTGAGCGTCCAGAGGGCCCAGGCCCAGCAGGTGCGTGTCGCGTCGGGCCAAGGTTTGTGTGGTGTCTTTAGAACGGCATCTGTGGTTTGGGTTGGGTTTGGAGGTCCAAGTGTGCTGCTGTGTGCTGGAGAGTTGTGTGTCTAAGAGATGTGCGTCCTAGGATGTGAGTCTGAGAGGTTGTGTGTCCTGAGAGGCTATGTGTCCAAAGGGTGTGAGTCGGAGGGGTGTGTTCGAGGGGGAGGGTGTGTCCAAAGGATTGTGAGTCCAAGGGCTATGTTTCTGAGAGGTTGTATGCCCAAGGGGCCTGTGTCTGAGGGTTTTGATGTCATTTGGGGAGCTGGGGGGCCGTGAGCCCCTGTATGTGTGTGTGAGCTGTATGTCTGGTCTGTGAGCTGGAGTGTCCTCCTCTCCTGGGATGCACTCCTTTGCATGCCCTCCAAGCCCCTGTACACAGCCCGGTGCCTTCCTGCTATGGCTGTGCTCTTTTGTGTCACTGCCCCAGACCTGCGTGTGGCATAACCATGCATGTGTGCCTGTGACTGCCATGACCCTTGCCTGCCCCGTGGGATTTGAGCTTCACGAGGAGAATGCGGGCCCTACAGCCCATGGGGTGCCTGTATGGCTGGGGGCAGGATAGGGGGTGTGGAGCCCTGGGTGGGGGATCACAGCTGCCTGGGCCACCCCCTCTCCTGTGCCTCAGTTCTCCCACCTGGGAAATGGGTACAGGAACGATAGTCACAGCCCTGCGAGACTGTCAGCACATGACAAGCTGACATGAAAGTGTTACTTTTGCAGTTACGCTCCTCCCACCCCCCTCCGCCTTTCTCAGGGTCCAGGGCTGCAGACAGGGCCGACCCGTCCACCTGGCTATCTCCTGTCCCTTTGTTGCTGACTTGTGAAGTCAGAAATAGCTGAGGCCTCATGCTTGTCCTGGCCTAGAATCCCCACTCGGGAAGGTCAGGACCTCTGGACATTTGGCATCCAGTGATAAGAATTTTCAGACTATTGGGGTAAAAGAAAGTGGGTTCAAAACAGTATTTAGAGTTGGAAAGACAAGTGTGTGGAGTTTGATTACAAAGGTCAAAGGGACTTTGGGAGAAGTCAGCCTTGCTCCATCCTGTCCCCCTGTCTGCCTACCACTGCCTGTCTGAGTCAAGGAGTGAATCTTGGATTCCAGGGAATGGAATTTCAGAACATTTAGGGCCCAGAGCCTCACCTTCAGGAGTCGGAAGCTGCTTATTTGGTCTGAAGCCCCCACTTTGCAGGGAGGGGAGACTGAGGCCAGATGGACACATTCAGGCCCCTCAGAAAAAAGATAGGCTCAATGCTATTCCTGGGCCACTGCCAAAGAATAAAATCCAGGAGCGGGGGGCCCAGCCTTCTCTCACTCCTCTCTTTGTGACTTCAGACAGATCACTGCCCCTCTCTGAGCTCTGTGGCTGCCCCTGTGACCTGAGCCAGTTGAGCTCAGTTTTACATCCTATCTCCAACTAATGATTTATTTCATTAAATCATTACCCAACCGGGCAGACATATGGAAGATGCAAATTAAGAGGGGAAAGGGACCCCCAACTCAGATGCAAGGAGTGTAGAAATGTTAGGGGTCTGGCCTTCCAGAAGATTGGAGGCACATATGCACAGATGTCATTTTTCAGAGAGGATTTATCATACACTGAGATCCCCTTTGGGGTCAGAGAGCTCACCCCAACCCTGGCCCTTGAATCCCTGTGAGGTACACACAGAGGTTGGGTCCCATTTCTCAACCCCCAAAAGGGTCTTCCTGGGCCCGTGCCCTGGGAGCTTGTGAGGATTCCCGGTCATCTTCAGGCCGAGGAATGAGTGTCTAGGATCCCAACAGTGCTCCAGGCTCACTTCCCAGACCGTGCAGGGGTGGCGAGTTTGGGCTACAGCCAGATAGCCCCAGGGCTCAAGCCCAGGCTGGAGTGAGAATCTGGGGGTCTCTCTGTGTGGCCTGGGAAAGACGGGCTCCTCCTCTGTAAAACGGGGCTAGCAATCTCCGCTTCACTGGGCTGTCTGTGGGTCAGGCAGGTCCTGTGTGTAAATGAGGTGGCATGTGGGCCTGGGCAGACAGTAGGCGCTCAGTAACAGGAGGTGACATCTGAACTGTGACAAGTGGAGGTACCTGTGAGCCCCACCTAGGCCCCCCACCATCACCCCACCCTCTGCCAGGGCCAAGGAGGCCTCAGGCCTGTCAGCTTTCCTGGCCTGATCTCCTCCAGGTCCAGGTTTGCCTGGGGTCAAGGCAGGGCCCTCAGAAGGGAGCAACTGAGGAGGGTTGGCACAAGGAGTCACTTGGTTGTCACAAGGAGTCCTTGGTTGTCACAAGGACACCAATTGCTGTCCTGGCCTCCTGCCCTGACAGGACTTCTCCCCACAGCAGCCATGGGGTCTTCTGAAAATCCTGAATCAGACCACAGCCCTCGCCTGCTCATGCACCCTCCATGACTCCCCATTGCTCTGCAGTCCACCCTCTCATCCCCACCCTTGAGGCCCCATGTAGCGCCCCTCATTCACTGTGCTTTAGTCACACTGACTTCCCCTGCACCTGGAACCTGACCAGCACGCTCCCACCTCAGGTCCTTTGCACCTGCCATTTCTTCCACCAGGCAGTCCCTCCCCCACATCCTGACATGGCTGATGTCCTCTCGTCCTTGAGGACCCCCATTTCAGAAAGGCCCAAAGCAGTTCCCTCCCCTGCCACCTACCCCTACTCCTTCCCCCTGTTGAATTTCTTCCTTGAAGGCCTCTGTCTCTGAAAGGATTATGCATCTGTTGTCACCTCTCCCACAGGACTGGGCAATGGAGGAAGTCAGGCTGGGTCTGTTCACTCCCTACCCCTGTGTCCTGTGCACCTGGTGGGCTCTGAGACATTTCTGGGGGAAGAGAGTGGAGACCAGGGATGCCCCAAGACCCCATCTTTGGGTCCTTGATGACTACATCTCAGGTCTGTCAGTCTGTAGGCTGAGTCCCTTCCGCTCAGAGCTGACAGATGTGTTAATTTCCCAAGCAGGGAGGCCTTGGCCTCAGGGGATGAATTTCTGGGGTTCCCATGGGGAGCTGTTTCTCTGGAACAAAGAGAGAAATCTTGGGCTCTCCCTGCAGTTGCTCCTATGGCTCGGGGACATCACTGGGTGCTTTGGGTGACCCTGGACTCCAATCTGGGACAGGAAGTTGGGTTCTGAATGTAGAGTCTCTCTCGGCTCCAGGGGTTTAGGGACCCAACCCCCTCAGGGAGGTAAGAGGGAGTGGTGGGCTTCCATTTGCAGTGACGGTGACAGAGAAACTGGCCTTCTTGGCAGATGAAGGACATGATTTCCTTCCCAAATGGACAGTCGTACCTTGGTCTGAGAGGCACTTGAGCACCTCCAGTGGGGGGTTGTGCTGTTGGCCGTTAGAGCAAGGGTCTCAAACTGGTAGGGGGTGGGGCTCAAATTTGTCTTGTGGGCCACAAGGTGTTTGAAAAGAAACTGAACGGGTTTCTTCCATTTGTTAAGCAGTTGGCTCGTTCATTCAAGGAAGGGTGACTGGGGGCCTACTGTGTGCAGGGCCCTGGGAAGGCTCCACCCTGCCCTCGCTGAGTGAACATGCTAGGGTAACATGATCATCACAGAAAGTAACAACGAAGCACAAAAAGTATCTGGTGGGGCTAAGTGCCTCAGGGAGAGATGAATCTCTCCTGGGAAAATTGGCTCCTCCAGAAAAAGGGATTTTTGCCTGGTTTCAAAGGATATGAGGTATCTCCTCAAACCTGACAAGGGCTTTCCCAGGGGCGGGGGGGGGGGGGGGAGGGCCCCCCGCCGGGGCAAAGGCCTAGTGATGGGAATGTAGCAGGTCTGTTTGGGGCTGG